TTCCTTTCCTCTCTTCTTCCTTTCCTTTCCTTCTTTCCTTGCCTTCTATCTTCTTCTTTTCCTTCTTCCTTTCCTTTCTTTCCTTTCCTTTCCTTTCTCTCCCCTCCCCTCTTCTCTCTCCTCTCCGGCAAAGCCCTGCAAACCTTTGGATGGGCAAAATCTCCCAATTAGACCTCAGAACACCCATGGACCTCGGTTTTCCGATCCAAGAGAGCGCACTCTGATCCCAGGGCAACACCCCTGCAAGGTAGATGGCGCGGAGACATTAGGCCAGGTAGAGGCAAAGCACCACTTTTGGAAATCCACTGACAAACCAGGATCAAAAGAAACAGTGGCTTAGTGTGGATGTGTGTATGATTTTCCCAGCCTGCGGCTGCAAACCTTGGCTGGTTAAATTTTGCTGCTGGCGAGGAACAAGCTGTGGGTCTGTGGTGGGATGCACTTACATGCAGACAGGTGTGAATTTCATCCCATTTTGTCTCCAAGGATTGTTTTACAGTGACAAATGTATTTATCCATTTATTTTTTTTCTCCACCTCCAGGTGATCACAGAATGGGGCCAAGGAAATTCTTACGCCCTGGAAGCTGCCATTATAACCTGCTCCTGCATTTCAGTGATAATCAAAAGCGTCCTGTTTTGGGCACTTTTTCACGTCTATCAGAGTTTTGGGCAAGGCCTGAGAGAGAGGAGTGAGTATTGGAGGCAGAGGAACGATTTCTGGGAGTAACCTCACTCCAGAGTGGGCTGGGTCTCTTCAACGGACAGCTGGCATGGGGATAGAGAACAAGGCAAATTCCTTTTCCAAATCCCCTGCTAGACCGATTCCTCAGGGACGCGGTGGCTCGGCGGCCAAGACGCGGTGCTTGTCGATCAGAAAGGTCGACCGTTCGAATCCCTAGCGCCACCGAACGGAGTGAGCTCCCGTTCCTTGTCCCAGCGGCTTCTGCCAACCTAGCAGTTTGAAAACATGTAAAAAAAAAACGCAAGTAGAAAAATAGGGACCACTCTTTGGGTGGGAAGGGAACAGCATTCCGTGCGCCTTTTGGCGTTTAGTCCTGGCGGCCACATGACCACGGATAGCGCTGGCTCTTCAGCTTTGGAACAGAAATGAGCACCGCTTTTCCGCTGCTGTTGTAATTTTGGTCACTAAACGAACTGTGGTACATTGAGGACTTTCTGTATTTTTGGAGGGGATCCTGTTTTTAATACTAACATTCTTCTCTCTCTCTCTCTTTTTCTCCGTCTCTCTTTTTCTGTCTCTCTTTCTCTTTCTTTCTCCAGTGTTTTCTTCCTATGGAAGGATCGATTCGTGACCTGCAGCTCCATCGCCAAACCAGTGTGCTCTTATAGAGTGAAAACCAAGTTGGGAAAATCTTGATTCTTCTCTTCCTTCTGCCCCCAACCCCCCTCCACCATTGGACTCTGGAATCTGATAAGCCACAGCGGAGACTGGATCCCAAGGGAGACCCTTTGCTGCACTTTTTAGGATTCCACGGTCCCTTGCTGTTTCTCTGGGATCCACCCCGCCAGCCTTCCTCAACGCAGGAAAGCCAACGAAACCACATATCCTCCCGGGTTCTCCCAAAGGAACTTAAGATGTAGCTTGCAACTACGAGTGGCCTTTCTCGTGCTGGGGTGCGTGTGTGTGTGGAGGTGTCTGGCATTTGCTCCCCTGGTTGTATTGTAACCCCATTATTTATTTATTTTTTTAACTTAATTTGGGCCCTGCTACGGTTGGCATGTCTGAACTTGACCAATGGGGCAGATTTCAATTGCCAAATTGCAAAGCAAATCCCCGGGATGCAGGCGTCGTTCCAATTAAAAAAAAAAAAATGCACCTTTTTCTCAGCCCCTAAAAGAGCCGGGCCTGAACCCGCTCTCCGATCCAGTGTGACACCAGAAAACCAGTTTCTCTTCCATCGCTTGCGGTTGGCTGCACTCTCCCACTGCCTGTTTTTCACGCTACCGAGGTTGCAAGGATCGCTTCGGATCCTGCAAACCTGGAAAGGAAGAATCTCTGCCCTTCTGGTGTGGTGCCAGAAAAGCAAAGAATGGCGTACTGGTTCGCCCTTCATTTTGCACACACCCCTTTGTAAAAAAAAAAGGCACAAGATTTTATCGCACCTGAAGAATTTCGGGGCTTGGACCCACCGAAGGCAGGATAGAATGAACGGCAAACCGTTTGCCTAAAATTGTCCCATCTGTGTTGCACCAACTGGGGGCTTGCAGCTTCTCCGTCTAAATCAGACCCGGGTGAGTTTCTATCTCTCAAACTTTTGGCTCTAACCGTAGGGTCTTCCCAGCTAAAAGTTTCCTTCGGTCAATATTAGCATGGCTGATTTCTTGCTGACTCCAGAGATTTCTCTTTTTAAAAAGTTCAAAAAAGTTTGGTCCTATTTTTTCAAAACACTCCCCAGCGTTGTGAATATCTTAGCTGAGCTATTCTTCATAACAAAGTGATTTTTTCTAACAAAACCCTTGTATTTCATACTCTACCATAATGCTTTATTTAAATAAATAAATTTAAAAAAAAATAGTTACCGGCCTTGTATTTTTCAATAAAGGATCAATGGCACGATTGTGTTTTGTAATATTATTTTTTTTTTGACCTCGTCTCTTCCAGACAGAGAAGTTTGCTCTTCAAATAAACATTTGCAGGAATTGGCTACCTTGCCAATTCCTGCAAACGTTTATTTTTATTTTTTATTCTCTAGTGAAAAAAAGGGGTCCAGGGATGACACGATAGCCATGTTCCAATATTTGAGGGGCTTCCCCAAAAAAGAAGGGGTCAAACTATCTTCCAAAGCACCTGAGAAGGCAGGACAAGAACCCATGGATGGAAACTAATCAAGGAGAGAAGCAATCTAGAACTAAGGAGAGATTTATCAGCGGAACAACTTGCTTCCAGAAGTTGTAGATGCTCCCCATCACTGGAGGCTAAAGAGACTGGACAGCTATTTGTCTGGAATGGTATCGGGTCTGCTGCTTGGGCAGGGGGCTGGACTAGAAGACCTCAAAGGTCCCTTCCAACTCTATTACTCTTAAAAAAAAAACACTTGCAATGGGCTTAGTTCAACTTGCACTAAAGGCACCACGTTTGCATTTCTTAACCTCGTGCGCTAACTCTGATATTTCCTACGGCAAGTTGGCATTTCCCCCATTTACAAAGAAAGAGCCTGCTCTTTTCATAATTCCCTGCCGATTTATAACACAATATCTATTTGCTCCATCGACTGGCTCTTGCTAAAAACAAAACAAAACACCACACACGCACACAATAGGCTAAGTGGGAAAACGTTACCCCTTTTCCTAGAACTCTGCTCTAGGGAAAACATTTATCGGTCACTCATTTATTTTGCTGTTTTTCCCTGGGTTATCGCGGGATCAACGGCTCCAGACAGAGGTTTGTTTTCCAGATGCAAGTGTTGGGATGCTTATAATCACATGCTTGTGGTAAGTTATTTACCGTTGGGGGCTTAATCCCATTTTGCAGTTTTATGACAATCTCCCTTATAATCAACAGGACGGACACAGACTTCAGAGGGTAATTAGGACTGCAGGAAAAACAATTGCTACCAACCTGCCTTCCATGGAGGAGGACCTGTGTCCTGCAGGAGTCAAAAAGAGGGCTGGGAAAATATCTACAGACCCCTCACATCCCGGACATAAATTGTTTCAACTCCCACCCTCAAAACGAGGCTACAGAGCCCTGCACACCAGAACAACAACTAGACACAAAGGGAGTTTTTCCCCCCAACGCCATCACTCTGCTAAACAATTCCCTCCACACTGTTCAACTATTTACAAAGTCTGCACTACTATTACTGTTAATCTTCTCATCACTGCTTATCACCCATCCCCTCCCACTTGTGACTGTAACTTTGTCGCTTGTATCCTTATGATTTTTATTGACTGTTTCCTCGTATGATTTGATTGTACCCTATGACGATTATTAAGTGTTGGACCTGATGATTCTTGACGAATGTATCTTTTCTTTTATGTATACTGAGAGTATTTGCACCAAGACAAATTAATTCCTTGTGTGTCCAAACACACTTGGCCAATAAAGAATTCTATTCATTCTTTCTTTTTCTTTCTTTCTTTCTTTTTCTTTCCTTCCTTCCTTCCTTCCTTCTCTTTCTTTCTTTCTTTCTTTTCTTCCTTCCTTCCTTTCCTATCTATCTATCTATCTATCTATCTAGAAAAAGACCAAACACAGGGCTGGAGATCCTGGGAATTCTTAATACTGAAGAGAATAGTAAAAAAAAAAAAAAAGAATTCTAAATAAGTTATGCTCTTATTTCCACCAGACAGAGTTATCAAGGGAGCAAGCAGCTAACCCATTTAAAAATAATAATAATAATAATAATCACTTTAAGGATTCCTGCCTTCAAAAATAACCAAACACGAGACTAGCAAACTCCTTTCCTGCAAGGAAAAAATTTCATATATATATATATATATATATATTTCTTTCGAAATCAGGGAATGATCTCTTTTGTCCTATCCCGGACGAAAACAAAAGCAGGGTTTGGATACAGATGGAGAATTTCAAAAGTATGGATGTTCCCCGTTCTTGAAAAATCCCCTTTATTATTTATCTCTGTAAAAGCCACCTTTTTACCTTTCTCCCCCTATTCATGAGATAGAAACTTAGACAATAACAAGAGAAGATAATATAACAACAGGGGGGGAAAAAGGACACACAGTATGTTTGAAGACAATTGAAAAATAGGAAGGATTTCTCCCCAACCCAACTTCAGCTGAATATTCTTGCAGTGGTTTGATCTCGAAGAGATGTCAGTATCCTCCATTCCATCAGGAAGAGTTTCAACCTCCTTAGGACTTAAAATCCATCGAAGGCACCCTTGTCTCAAACAGCTTTAGCCCTGAGTGGCCCAGAAGGAAACAGCTCAGCGACAATGGATTCTCAGAGAGAAGGATGGGAATTTTTTTAGCTATTTCCGCGTCTGGCAGAATTTCACAGGATTGTCCTCAGCTGTTAAATCAGGATTTCTTACTCTCCATCCGTGTTTTTTGTTTTGTTTTTCGACCATGTCAATGTTTGGCCATAACTTCAAGAGGAGCAAATTGCAGGAATCCTGACCACAGAAAAAGTTGAGTTGTTGGAAGAAGGTCTGCGAAAGAGTTTTGGTTTTTTTAACTTTCTGACTTTCCTTTTTTTGGGGGACCGTGGTGGGTTTTTCAACCCCATCGTAACTCAAAAGTATGGATTTGAAGTAGAGTGTCGGAATTATTTCAGATGCCAAGAATTCTCACACGAGAGCAAAGGAGAGTCTCCAAAGGGAAGGCTTCACCTGCTAGTTTGTCTGTTTGTTACATCCGAAAGAGACTGAAGAAGAAGAAAAAAAAAGCTACTTTGGAAGATGCCGAAAGCGGGTTTAAAAAAAAGAACGAACAGGAGTCCAGTTTGCCTTGGTCCCTTCGAGGACAGACGGATCACACAAGACAGATAGAAAAAAGAGGCTCACTGAAACACAAAAAGGGAAAAGGGGTTCTAAGCAGCCACTGGGGGGGGAAAAAAAACCCCTCCAAAACACGCCTCCTTTTTTTTTTGTAAACTGAGGAAAGAGGAGAAAGGAAGAAAAGGCACCGGCGGTAAGGAGAAATTTTAGCGGTGGCAAATTTGCCGAATGGATAAGAGGCTGTTGATATGTCTCCCCACCCGCCCTGCCCGCCTCGCTACGGCCCTTGGGAATCGTAGGTGGATTTGACAATATTTGGGAACCGACTGAGCAAATGTCGTTCCTTTCAAGACAGCTTCCCTTGTTGCTGGACGTGGAATCGGTCGCTGGGGAGGCAGCACGGTGTGTTGTTCGCAAAGCTGCTGCTTTCTTTCCGTGGCCCAGGTTATAAGCCATGTTGTGCCCGTCCCTCTTCCTCTCCAGAGTTGGTTTAACAAGGTAGGAAACTAACAGCACAGCTGGGCATCAGTAGGGCAGACTGATATGAGGTATGTTGCTACCTTTATATATATGTCTATATATCTAAATATATATGTATGCGTGTGTAGATCTCTCTCTCTCTCTCTCTGTCAGGACTCAGTGTCAACTAAAAAGATGCTCTTTTGGTGTTTGTAGCTGCATATGTGTGTGTGTGTGTGTGTGTGTCCACATCTATCCATCTATCCGTCTATCTGTCTGTCGGGACTCAATGTCAACTAAAAAGATACTCTTTTGGTCTTTTTAGCTGCATCTGCATGTGTGTGTGTGTGTGTGTAACCACATCTATCCGTCTGTCTGTCTGTCTGTCTATCATCTATCACTTTCTATCTACATATATGTATATATCTACATCTGTACAACTATATATCCATATAGATACATATCCATATCTATATATTTATGTACCCATCTATACCTCTCTCTCCCTCCCCCCCCTCTCTCTATAAATTTCCATTTATATTATATATCCATATATCCATGTATATATCTATATATAGCCATATATCCATAGAGGTATAGAGATAGATAGATATAAAGAGAGAGAGAGAGAGAGGGAGGGAGGGAAGGAGGGAGGGATATATATGGATAAGGGGAAAGTTACTCCCAAAGGCTACAGGCTGCAAATACTTATAGACTAGGAAAGTTCCCTTTTGGTCTCTCTTCTTCCGATGCATACCCGACGCTCAAAATTCTTCCTCCTCGTCGATGGCAAAGTGATTTTGCTTCTTCCTGACGTTCCAGTGTAAACACTCAGCCAGGCTTTCGAACCAGTCGCTGACCGGATCTTGGAAGCAGATCGAAGGGAGAGGGTAGCAGGAGGTTGTGATGCTGATACTAGAAGGGAAGCCAAGAAGGACGGCTGGTTAAAGGCAAAGCCAGCCGAAAAACGGCCTGGCTCCCAAGCGTTTTGGTCTCCCCAAATACCTTCATTGCTTCGGACTGAGCAGTTGTTTGGGGTTTAAATCAGGAGTGGCTTCTCTGAGGCCAAAGAACCAGTTTTGAACGCCCACCCCTTTTTTTTCCTTTCTACCCCTCTATTTTTTTTGGCATTTCTTGACTGTTTAGGGAAAAGACCTTTCTTTGGCCAAATCGGGGGGGTTTTCTTTTTTCAGACACCCTCACCTGTCCCCGTGGCAGATCTCCTGCCTCTTCCTCCCGTCAAACGAAACCCACGCGGTATTCCTGGCATCCGGAGACAGCATGATCTAGGATTGAAAGAGAGCGGTGGGGAAAGGAGCCGTGATTTCCAAGTTTAGATTCTGGGATGGAAAAATATTTCTGAGCGAAAGAAGAGATCCTAGGCAAGATGGTGATTTACTGGGTTACCCAAATTTTCTGGCAGAGCCAGAAAAAATTTGCAATTGTAATTAAGCCCGTATTTCGGTTGCAAGCCACCAGGATCGTTAAGCAAGGGGCCACGTCTCATTTAAGGACTTTTTTTTCTTTTTTTGCAGGCAGCCGTTAAGCCCGCTCAGGTCCTACAGGACTGGCTCAAAGGCAACTCTCGGGCATCTCGGGCTGAGCACAGGGGTTGGGTCTCCGTGTTCAAACCAGCCCTGAAACAAAAAAGTTTCTCTTTTAGGGCAACCAATTAAGGCGACCTACCTTCAGGTCTACTCCAGCCGGAACGACGATGGGCCGGAAGGACAGTGAATGAGGGCAGATGGGGGTGATCATGATGGCGGGGACGTTCGGATGGATCATTGACGCGCCCGCAGCGGCTGCGTACGCCGTGCTGCCAGTCGGCGTGGAGACAATGACGCCTAGTGGGAAGAAATGAGCACTGTTTATCTTAAGAACAACGGGAAGGAGCAACTAGTGTGTTACGGCCTGCTGGCCGCCGGCCTCTCCAGCAGTTGAATCAGAGGAGGAGGAGGCGGCGGCGTGGGAGCCGGGGTCAGCCTCAAGGCAACAAGGGGGAAGAAGGAATGGAGCTGCCAGAGAGGCAGAGGTGGAGAGTCAACAGCCCCCAGGTCTGGCTGATGAGGAAGAGGAGGAACAGCTGGGTCCAGTGCCTGACGTGCAGATGCACAGAAGGCAGAGGAGAGGAGAGCAGTGGAAATCTATGGGCCGGACCTTGGGACGGAAGAGCCACCGCGGCTAGCAAAGCCCCACCCTTGCTCTGGGGATAAAAGGCAGGGGGTGGAGATGAATAGATATGGCAGACAACTATTCATCTTCCAGACAGACAGACTTGTTAACCTGCGGGGCTAACTTGTTTTTTTTTTTGCTGCTGCTCCTAATAAAGGAATTGTTGAGTTAACTTCAGAGGGTTTGTCGTGTTTGGGGAGCTGGGTCAGAACAGTGATCCACCAGCTCTGTGGGCTCACCATCGCCTTGTACAGTGGTGATAAGGTGACCATCAAGGAAGACATCCACGTTGGAAAGGTAAGAGGAAGGGCCTCGGTCCACGACCACTTCATTCAAGACCTGAAATACAGAAAAAAAGGAATATTACAAGTGAAATGCATCAACTTGGCCTCAGGCAATGTTTTCAACTTTGCCCCCTTTAAGACAGGAGGACTTCAACTCCCAGAATTCCCCAGCCACACTTTTAAAGGGATCAGGGTTGAAAAACGCCGGTGGTAAAGGACTCCGGGGCGAGGGGGTGTCTAGGTTAGAACCAATTCGACAGGCGAACATTTCATTTGAGGAATCTCAATCGCATCCATTTCATGCTGAATGATATTGAGAAAGGAAGGAAGGGGAAAAGATAACTATCATTCACTTGGCTGAGTAAAGAATTTGAAAATAATAAAATAAGATAGATGAGTGGTTTTTTTTTTTAACATGACGCCGTAATCGCTTACGCAGTGGAGTCGGAGAAACTGAATGGAGCGGAGTGTTTACTTTCCTGTTGCCGGTGTGGAGGTTTTTTTTTTTATTCAGCAGATAAATTCTCAGTGTGCCCAGAGAGAGAAATATCTGCCTCTAGCCAGGATCGAACTCGCAGCCTCCTGATTGTGAGGCGAGAGCTCCACCTTTATTAGGCCACCGCACCACTCATGAGATAAGATAATAAAATGAAATTAAAATAAAAATAACATTCCAGGGATGCCTACCAGATATTGAGTGGCTTGCTTAAACATTTCTTTTTCCAGACCCGAAGACACCACACCGTTTTCCTCGATCCCGTTCTGAATCACGGCCTTCTTCTCCCAGTGTTCCTTGATCACCTTCACCTTCAGCCTGCTTCGGAGAACGAGGGCTGCGTTGCCTGCCAGGAGGAATTAAGACAAGACGGGATGGAACTAAGGGCCTCCGCTGAATAACCACCGACACGATCCATTTTGTGGAACGATCACAGCCACAACCAGCTTCCAATCTGAGTCAATTCAGAAGAACGGCTTTATGGAATGGCAAAAATACTCAAGTTGGGCTTCTTTGCTACAGGGGACACTGTCTCACCGTGCCCGCCCTGTGATCTTAAAAGGGGGGGGGGATCTATCTGGGATTTTGAAAGCATGTCATGGGCACTCTCACAAAATGGCTGCCACCGAGGGAATCACCCCTGAGCAGAAGGCAAAACTGGCGACATTGCTCTCTTCCAGACGAATTAGATGATTAGGGGACTGAAGGCTAAAACATATAAACAACGGCTGCAGGAACTGTCTCGTTTAATGAACAGAAGGACTAGGGGAGACAGGATAGCAGTCTTCCAATATCTCAGGGGATGCCCCAAAGAAGAGGGAGTCAAGCTATTCTCCAAAGCACCTGAGAAGGCAGGACAAGAAGCAACGGGTGGAAACTCATCAAGGAGAGAAGCAACCTAGAACTAAGGAGAAATTTCTTGGCAGAACAATTTGCCTCCAGAAAGTTTTGCAAATGAGCTCACAGCAGGAATGCGGGCATGGCAGACATCTCAGAAGAGCCCCCCCCCCCACCCGTAGTAGCTTGTGCTGTAAAGGAGGGGGCGAGCGATGTACTTCCAGACTTTCAAGATTCTGCTAATGTCACCTTGCAAGACACCTGAGCTAGTTCTTCTGGGCGTGCCTCGTGTTTGCACGACCTCGCAAAGTTGCCAGGGATCCTCTGCAAATGAAGCAGCGGACAAGCCGGGGGATGGATTGGCAACTTATTATTATTTATTTATTTATTTATTTTAAAAAAAAACCTGGATGGCAACTGAAGGTGCCCAGAGGTTGCAGAACTCCATCAACTGGAGTCAGATGGCATCAAAATGGAGACTGAACAAATAAATACACTTTAGAATTTATTTATGCGGTCTGCTATGCAGAAATCTCTCTCTCTCTCTCTCTCTCATCTATCTGTCTCTCTCTCTCTCTCTCTCTCTCTCTCTCTCATCTATCTGTCTGTCTGTCTCTCTCTATCTATCTACCTACCTTCCTACCAACCTCTCTATCTGTCTGTCTCTCTGTCTCTATCATCTATGTATCTGTCTGTCTGTCTCTGTCTCTCTCTGTCTCCCTCTGTGTGTCTGTGTCCCTCCCTCCCTCCTTCCCTCCCTCCCTCCCTCCAGTACATTAGAGAGCATTTTGGGGATCCTGAATTAATCAGTGGAGAGGCAGACAGAATTCACCCATTCGACATCTTCCCCCAGAAAACACTGAAGGACCCTTACGAACTTACCTTCGATGACCTGGGTGACTTGAGACTGAAAGTTTTCAAAATTGAAGGGAGTGAGGAAGCCCAGGGACCCCAAATGGAAAGCCATGACTGGGGGTACACTCCTCTGTTGGCAAAGACAAAAAAACATGGGGGAGAAAGGGATATTAGAAATCGCAGAGAATGAGTTGGAGAAAACAGCATCTTCTGGGCATTTTTGTCCTTGTTCTTACACCTGGGACAAACACCCTTTGGTTATTTTGTATGAATGGGGAATTAGTACAAAATCCAGGGTCAAATACGCCAAATGCCAACTAAAAATACTTCTGTGGTCTTTTCAGTTGCCAGCAGAAATTGAGTGGGGAAAGCAGTGCATTCCTTAAATGCTTCAGATAATCCCTTTGGCAGCCGAAGCTGCTGGCGGACAAGATTATTACTGGAGAGCATGATGGATGACTCTTGTGTCCCATTGGAGAATATACATCCAGGGGGTCGGGGGGTGGAAGACCAGGGTCAAGGGGGAAATAAATGATGCGTCTTAGAGTCGGCTGCAACCCGGAAACGCCGACATGTCAACTCCTAATCAATCAATCTTTTTTACTCTGAGAAATTTGGCTAGAGACTTATGATTTGAATGGAGTCCTGGCACCAAGCTAACTATGCTAAGTTTTTAAAGCCACCTGCAGAAACCAGAAGTCCTTAGACATGTTTCTCTGTTTTTTTTTGTGTTGCTATGAGGTTGGGTTTTGGGGGGGGTACCGTTCCTATTTTTTAAAAAAAACTTTTTAAAGAATTTGCAAAGAATTTTAAGAATTGTCACTGGGAGACAGACCGTGTTGGAGTTAAATAATAACAATTGCTGTTTGCTCTTCTATTGCATATTTAAGGCAGCTGCACTGTCCTTGTGTTCTACATGTCTGTCTGTGTTTAATTTAATCTGGACTCTTATTTTTCCCCTCAAGGTCTTGGTAGAATAAATGTGTGGTTCTTTTAAAAACAAAAACAAATGGGCATTTGAGCTCATAAGGTAAATTTAACTGTTGCCGATGTGGAAAGGGGGTAGGAAGTGAGCCCATAATAAACCAGAGAGGGGGGAAAAAAATTCTGAAAAGGACGCTTGAACACACAACTGCAGATAACGGAAGTGGACCAAGCGTTGTAAAGAGCTGGGTTGGAGGGATGAGCTCACCGGGAAAAGCGACGAAGCGTACAGTAAAGTCCCGTCTCCGCCCAGGCAGATGATAAAGTCTATCTGATCGGAGATATCATCATAATCTACAGAAAAGGAAAACAAATTTAACATTTCAAGATCTTTTGATTCTTAATCTTACCAATTAAACAAGCAAAGGATACACCGGGCTGACAGAATGAAAGATCCTTTTTCTCTGGTCCTCTTTTAACCGTAACCGTTCACGGCGGGCTCTTTGGCAATTTTGGACACCAAAAATTATTCTTTTCAGACACTAACAGACTCTTCTTTAATAAGATTTGTTGAGAAAAATGGGATAAGGTGACAAGAATCCTACCTATTTGTCCCTTAGAATTGGTATATCTCCATATACAGGCAGTCCTTGAGCTATGACCGTAACTGAACTCTCTGCATTTAGCTGTATGTTGTGACAGGCATAAAGCAGGTCAACACATGCCTGACCCTGATTTTATGACATTTTCTGTGGTTAAGTCGTTAAGTGAACCCTTTGTTCCCTATGGGCTGATTTTGCTGGAAACTGGAAATAAATGCCAATTTCCTGCAATCGTCATCTTCATGTAGACCCCTTCATCTCTTGTGGGGGTGGAGTCTGGGCAACTGAATGGAGCTAGCAGAGTGTTTTACTGCCGGATGCCTTTCCCTGTCGCCGGTGTGGAGTTTTTTTTATTCAGCAGATATATTCTCAGTGTGCCCAGAGAGAGAAATATCTGCCTCTACCTAGGATCGAACTCACAGCCTCCTGATTGTGAGGAAAGAGCTCCACCTTTAAGCCACCGCACCACTCCACCAATTTCCTGCAATATCATCACAAATTGCGGTCGCATGACTGCAGGGCATTGCAACCAGCCCACCATTGTAAAGGTCGGCTGGTTGCCAAGTGCCCCAAATGTGGTCACATGACCATAAAGCCTCCCCGCCCCTAACATCGGATCTTTGAAGCAGGTTGTAAGTAAGCAACCGGTCGTAAGCTGAGGACCACCACCTCTACTATCTTTCTGATTTTCTTTCTCGTAGACTTCCTCCTAGGTGGCAAGAGGTGCACCAGCCCTTGTGATCCACCTGGAAGCGCCTAAATACCTTCACTGAAAGTGCAAAACCGCTTCTTCACAGACGCAAAACTCTCATCGTTCATGATGGCTGGGTCGTCTAGGATTTTCTTCTCCACGTAAACCAGCATGTTGTTCACCTGGAAAGGAGAAAGTGGCTGTCACACCCCTGTCGGAGTCTGAATCCGAGGAGGAGGAAGACGAACAGCGGACAGGGAGCGGGAGTGTGGCTCCCGTTGGCTGTGGAGGAAACTGGGGAAGGGCAAAGTCCGGCTGGGCAGAGCAGGGAAGAGGTAGAACAAGGGAGAGGGAGTTCAGAGGAAGACCCAGGCCCACCCACTCTTCATCCTCGGGCACGCAGAGAGAGACAGAGATAGAGAGACAGATAGACACAGAGACACAAAGAGAGAGAGAGAGACAGACAGACAGACAGAAGAGAGACACAGAGAGAGAGACAGAGAGAGAGAGACAGAGATACAGAAAGAGAGAAAGAGACGGACAGAGAGAGACGGACAGAGAGAGACAGAGATAGAGACAGATAGACACACACACACACACACACACACACACAGAGTGAAACAGAGACAGAGACAGAGAGACAGAGAGAGAAAGAGAGAGGGACCGAGCGAAGTCCAGCTCACCTCGGTCAAATAGATGCAGAGGTCTTTGAAGGGCTGCAGAAGACTGGCGTCTCGGATCTTCTTGATCACAAGGACACTTTTTGGAGGTTTGTTCCATGTCAACCGCTGGCTGGCCGGATCTTGAATGTGCCTGTGGGAAGACAAGACCAGGACATGCTCAAATCGTTGGCACTAGAAGTACAATTGTCCAAGGATATGGATTGAAATGTGAATTTCTCCAGGCTGGATTTTTGAAGGGAAAAAAAAAAACCCAATATTTAAGAGGGGAGGGGCTTTTAAAGAGTTACAAACTGCAAAAAAGAGACTAGGGAATGAGTCAAAACCATCCTGTTTTATTTGCTTATTAAACCTGTTGGCTTGCCCATATTTTAGGTCGCGCTGCATTCAGCTGACCGGCTGGTGGTTTCTCAAACTTTGACGTCCTGGCCAGACTCCCTACATGCACCTCCCACAATGCCCCATTGCCGTGGCGGGAGGGGAGGGGGAATTCTGGGAGTTGGAAGCCCACCCATCCTAAAAGCTCGCGGAGGTTGGGAAACGCTGCCCAAGGCAGCTGATCTCCCAAGGGATATTCCAGCTCCCAAAACACCCATGTGGCTGCCCACACACAAAGTGTTCTGACTCTGCCTTACGCAATGCGCAAATATGCCAAAGTAGGGGAGGTGTTCCTTCTGGATTGCCGGTCGTTGAACAGGTTAACCCCACGCACCGTTCTCACGCAAATTACATTTTGGGAGTGGAGCAATACGAAGACAAAAAGCTCTCTCTTATGCCAAGCAACTGTGCGGAGAGGGCGAAGCAGCATCGAACGCCATGGTACGTGGAAAAAATCTCTGCTTCCTAAAGACAGGAGCGCTATTGTAAGCCAGGGCCTGTTATCAAAAATCCCACGTGATTTAAATCCGCTCCTTTTCTAGGGTGGAGACGTTGACAAGGAAGCTTGCTGTTCTGAGTTTTTAAGTGCTAAGGGCAGAGGACAGTAATCTTAAATCTTGGAGATAAGCTACATTTTAGATGTGGGGGGGGAGGGGAAAGGCATACCTTTCTGTCAAAGAATAAGAAGAGTCAGAAGGGGCCCCAGAGGTCTTCTAGTCCAACCCCCCTGCTCAAACAATAAAGGCAATGCTGGTTTGGAAAATCTAGAAATGGAGTCGATGCATTTGTGTGCGTATGTGATTTTTTTTTTTTAAAAAAAAGAAACGAAATAAAGTTTATCGCACACGTCCCTAAAATACTCGCCATAAAGGAAGTGGGACACGGCTAGATGCTTTCAGATCTCACCATAGACTTTCCATGAAGAAGGTTAGGGGAATATTAAAACTCAGCTCTTAGAGACGATCTAAAACAGTGAAATCAGTGGTGGGATTCGGTGGTTGGCAGCAGTTTGCAAGAACCGGTTGTTAACTTTCTGAGCAGTTTTGGCGTTACTGGTTGTTGGTTGGCAGAAACCATGAGGGCAGAGAACCGGTTGTTCAATTAATTGAATCCCACCGCTGAGTGAAATAATTAGCCAGATTCATATTAACTTTCAATCTTCAAGGCAAAGACATCAGAAGCTAAGTTTAGATGAGGGTGTTTTGGTATTGGGTTTTGGTTTTTTTTTTTGCAATTCTATATCCATAGCACATCCTGTTAGAATGATCTCTAGCTCGTTCCATCTTCTTCTATTTAGACGTAAAAGCCCCAATTTTATCATTTCTTCCTGACTGGACTGATATTTAAGGAGAGACATTCAGAATAAATTCGTCTCTTCTAACGGTCAGGGGCCGTACCGGAGGTAGCCGATTGCCATGACTGATAGATGAGAGACAGTTATGGTTCTTAAATTCGAGTTTTGCCATTTTTCTTGTCACAGGTATTAAATGGGTAACACCGTTGTTAAGTGCGACTGTCATAAATACGAGTCGATTGTCTGCAAGAGTCTGCATTTTGATCATGTGACCACGGGGATGCTGCGACGGTGCAAAAAACGGCCGTTAAGTCCCTTTTTCCCCCAGTGCCGCTGCAACTTCCAACGGTCACTAAATGAACTGTTGTAAGTCAAGGTCTACCTGTATTTGACAAAAAGGGGCCATAGATTGTGTTAATTGTCACACTTCTGCAGCAGTAGCTAAGCACTAGAAGGGATCGACCCAAGGAATCTGAGATCAAGTTAGTAAGTTTTGTTGGGAAGGAAGCGGTTGCAACAATGCAAGGATTCTCCCAAGGACTTTGTGTCCCAGTTGAGAATTCGATAAAACCGGCAAATCACAGTGGTAAAAATCTCCTTTTTCTCATGCGGTTTTGATGTCTCCTTTGGAGAAGCTGCCCAGCCTAGAGTTGTGAATGTTTTGCAATCAAACACAGCTTTTATTATCAAACCAGTTTTCTTATCACTTCGCAAAAAGTTTCATTTAGCACATGTTTTTTTTTTAAAAAAGGGGCAGTTCTTGATTTTAAAAAACGGCATTCTTATGCTTTCCTTCTCCTTCTCCTTTTTCTTTTTAAAGTAAGTTTTAGCTTGAGGTGAATCTGGGTACTTAAGAATACAAGCCAAAGGTAAGAGGAAAGATACTTCATGCTTAATCCTTTGTATTTGTTGAAAATCTTTCTGCATGTGGAGAAAGAATTTAGGCTGGGTTTCTTCTTAAAGGGAGATGAAAAGTCACATTTATTTGCAGGCTGCAAACTGGGGGATTCCATGTGAACTTTGCTAGCAGTGGTAATTAAACACACACACACATATATATATATATTATTTCTACAGTGGCAAATTGTCTGTCTATCTGTCTGTCTGTGTCTATTATGTACCTACCCACCCAATCTAATCTATTTATCTAATCTATTTATCTCATATACCTATAAGAATTCTATTAAACTAAACCCATGATTTCTAGGGCAGGGATACAGAATTCTTCACTGAGCTACAGTATAGTTCTCTCTATATTATATTAACAATTAACTAAATGTGGTGTTGCAATTCAGAATCATTCCCATTAAGTTAAGACTTACAAAATATCAGACAAATATTTTCCCTGGCTGTTTTATCAGTAAAAAGCAGGAGACAAATGTTTAAAAATAAATCAGTAGCCAACCCTATCTGCTCTCTCAAAGCAAGACTTCCAATCTGGACATAAATTTGTTTTTTTGTGTTTCTAAGAAAGCCCAAAAGCTTTGGCAATGAACTCGGGATAAATCCTAAACCATTCCTCTACCACCTTACATAACCTCCCAAAGGTGATTATAAAACCCAACTTTAAAGCTGCACAGAAGACAGGCAGGCTACAATACCACAAACACGACAAAAGAAAGAAATTAGCAAACATTTGTCTTAAAAACAAAACACAGAACATTGAACTTGGTTTTTAAGTTTTTACATGATGCTCCTTATATACTTCCAAGCAAAAAAATCCAGAAGGAGGGGTGGGGGGGAGGGAAGGAAGGAAGGAAGAAGGAAGAAAAGGAGGGAGGGAAGGAAAGGAGGGAGGGAGGGAGAGGGGAGGAAAGGAAGGAAGATTGGGAAATAATGAAAAGAAAGAAAAGAGAATTAGAAACTGTACTTCGGGGAACTTTTACCTTGTAAAGTATTTTCATCCTAACCTGCAGTTTACTTCAAGGTGGAACCAGGAAAAATGTGATTCAGCATTTCGAAAAGATCATCCCAGCTTTTCAGTAACCTTTGAGTAACTTTTTCTAAGACAAACCAGCCCGGTGATAATTAACCCTTTCGGAAGATCTCCTTGCCAAAAACCCAAATCAAAACCCTTTTCTCTTCGCTTTCTCTACTATTTTCTACTCAAAGCAATTTCCTCCCAAGACTCACCACTTCCAGGTTGCCCGACCAAAGGAACAGTACTGAAAAATTTTCATCTTTCTCTCCCAGGCACGCGGTGAACCCAAAGGCAGGAATGAGCCTGAAGATAAATCTTTGGGGAGCCAAACAGCTACCTTAGACAAAACCCAGCGCTCTGAAGTCCGACTTCCATTTTTTTAATTTGTATTATTATTTTATTATTGCTGTTTTTCTAGGGAAAAGCCCACCGTTGCGAAGAATTATCCAGGACCTCTCAAATCGTAAAATATGTATTATTTTTTTCCAAAAGAAAAAAAAAGAAAAGAAAAAAGCGCTCCGTGTTAAGTATTTAAAAAAAAAAGAAAAAATTCCTATTGCTCCTCCGGCTGCTTGTTGCACGAACAAGAGTGGTTTACAAACAAGTTTTCATCAACCTCAGCTGAGTCTTTGCATAACAAACCACAACTGTCCTCGGCTTCATATCGGAGTTTCCCGACGAAAAGGAGCGATGGTGAGGCCGGCTCCTGCCTCCTCAAACAGGCAGCTTGGGATTCTTCAGGAGGGAAAGAAAACGATTTGGAGAAGTCGGTGTGGACTTTTTAAAAATAGCCGGAGAAATCCAAAACTGAAAGAAAAGGGTGTGTGAAACGAAGCCGGAAAGTTCAAATCGCTCAGCTGTTCTTCCTCCTAACAACCTCCCGTTCTTGGGTTTTTTTTTCCCCTCCTCCTCCTGGAGGTTTCACACTCGGTTTTCCGAGTCTAGATTAAACGCTCGGTGCCTCCTTGGCCAGTGGATTAATCTCAGCACACATTATCATATTGTACAATCCCAGGAGGAGGAGGAGGAGCAGCACCTACGTCTCAGCTGTCCTAGCCTGGTGATTAAAAAGAAAAAAAAAAAAAAAACGAGTGATGTGAGTCCAAAGTTGAATAAGTGACAAGCCTGCCTTTAACCCGTGGGCTTCCAAACCACGGGAGCGCCTGACTGTCACCTGGAACGGAGGGAGGGGTGTGTGTGTGTGTGTGTTGGGTGTTGGCAAAACGGGACTGAGTCGGTATTGTTCCTTTCTCTTTGTCTTGCTGGGAGGTTGGTCAGCTTCGGGGTCTTTGCTCTGTTGTGCAGATATAGAATAGAATTCTTTATTGGCCAAATGTGATTGGACACACAAGGA